GGACTCTTTGCGACTTGCGTCGTTGTCTTGCGCATCATGCTCAAGTACGTTGCGTGTTTCTATCCATGGGGACCGCCAACTCTTTGCCAATTTGGACTGCGTGCTGGCATCCATGCCTGGCTTTACACCCCGCGGCTGACATTGCGCGTATGCATGAGGCTAATGCTGCACCAGGTTTCTTCCACGATCACATTGCGGTAGTTTCGTCTCGACCAGTTGCGCCCCGCTCGAGTGGTCGAGTGGTTTAAATCCTTGTTCCTTTGGGACACTATGGGGTCCCTTCAGCAAAGTGCGGCGACCTGTGGCGGATCCATGTGGGCTCGTGTCCCTTCCAAATAAAAAGGCGCTCCCCATAGCCAATGGCGAGGAAGGGCGCTTTCCGTCGTGCATGGGTCCTTTGAGTCTCATCCCCTTGCCACGAGCAGGCAAGAAAATGAGCAAACTGCAGGCCTCGTGGAGGCTAAGAAACTTGCTCAATAAACGACTTCTGCAGGTCCCATGTTAATTGCTTTTCGGGAGGGGGGCGACCCTTTTCTGCGCCAGGTATGAACTCGCAACACATATGCCATGGTCAAAGCACCCCTTAGCTTTGTTTTTGTTTGGGAAGGTCATGGACTAGGGGCCCTCCTGCTTAAAGCCCATTGACATAAGTTTATGAGGTTCTTAAGGGGGGTACAAGGGGGGGGAAATTGAGGTGGACTAGGGGCCCCCAGGCCCAGGGTTCAAATCCTGAATCTGGCTCAACCCTCATCCCGTTTGCCCGCCCACTAGTCTCTTGGCAAAGCACTCCGTTCTTTGCTTGTCTGTTATGCAACGCAAGTTAAGCAATTTTTTGTGCGATTTCTATTCTCGAGGCTTTTCCAGGCTTCTCTGAGGCTCCCTAGGCTTCCCTTCCCCAAGCTTCCCTAAGGCTCCCCAAGGCTCCCTAAGCTCCCCCAAGCACTCCCTAAGCCTCCCAATAAATTTTCAGAGTTTCCCCAAGCTTCCCTTGCCCTCCCTTTCAAACTGCATTCTCGCTGAATTCTGAGTTGGCCAGCGCTCGCAGCTGAGGGGGTAAAGCCATCGTTTATCCCAACCCAACCTAGAATCAAAGCGGAAGCGCGGGAGCTTAAGGGAGCCATGGGATCTTTTGGGGGCCTTTTGGGGGTTTTGGGGGGCCTTTAGCAGTTTTTGGGGAGGGAGTGCTCTCTAGGAAGTGCTAGGGACGCTTGGGGGTTTCAAATTACCCCCCCCCCCTTTACCATTAATAGTGGCTGTGGCACTGTCAAAATCCACGTTGCTTGGGTTGTGCCCTTTAGCTGAGGCAGCCAGCAATGCCTCTGCGGGGCAGTCTATTGAACGTGGCCTGGCGGGCTGTGATGGAGGTGACGCTCACCGGCCCCGCAAGAAGTGCGGAATGTCTTTGTTCGGAGTAGGCGCTCAGTTGAGAGAGTTGGGGCATAGGCGAATCTCTAGAGGTTCTCGTGGAATTTCGCCCTTTGATTGCTATGAGGGACGCATGTTTCTTAGTGTAAGTCTGGGCCAGATGTGCCAGGCTTCATAGTTCCTCGGTTGGTCCGCGGTGCAACGGTTGCAAAGGCGGGTCTAAAGATAAGCCCGTGGACAAAGATGGTTTACTTGATCTAAATATCCGGGCTTTCCCATTCTGAAAGGCTAGCCCGTGCGTCCCAGCTACTCAGCAGCGTTGCTTTTCTGAGCGTTCTGTGACGCAAGTGGCTGCTTCTCTCAGTATTCCCGACAATGGATACCTAATCCGGCAGCTTTATTGATTTGATGTCGACCTTAGCCCGTAGCCCCCTTGCATCGTACCCTCTCCCCCAGAAATGAACCCTGTTGGGAGTCTCGAGCCTCACCAGCAGCGTACCCAGGAGTCTGCCAAGAGGGAAGGAACAGGTTTGAGGGAAGCACCTGCCTGAGGGTACCTGAAATTTCCGTTGGAGTCATTCCCCACACATTTTGTTGCAGATATATAAGTATAGATTTGGTTCTGATAGGGAAACGTTGGACAACTCATTCTCACAGAAGAGGACTTGACTTAACATCCAGCCAGCGAGCGGCGAGACAAGGGCAAGACAAGGTGGCTAGGAATCGTTCTTGACCTCGACGGGCCCTTGAATGCAGGCAACACCATCCAACACACTTTGACTGCAACATCAACATCAACTCATTAAAAAAAAACGCCCGTACGGACATTGCCAACATTCCTGCAGCCTCCATTGATAAATTAATTTTTGCTCGAAATATGTCTGCTCGTGACGACCTGTTCTAGAATACATGTACGTTTCAACAAAAATCGCTCGCGTTGTCAGCAATCATGCGCCCGTCGGAACCCATTCCCTGTACCATGTTCGGGATTTTCGCTCGTTTGCACTTGTTTGCACTTTTTGCGCCGATTTGCGCTCGTATTGCACTTTTTTGCGCTCGTTTCGTTGAGTATTCCCAAACTCGCCCCTGTGAAAGAATATGAAACTACCGAACTTGATTTCTGCTCGAATCCGAAAAAAACATGCTCGAAAGCAATTGTGGAGGGAAAAGCGCTACAACGTGTCAATTTGTGTCTCGAACCAGGGGGGAGGCATATTTTTTTGCTACGATGCTCCAGGTTTGTTGGCAGGTGTTGGCTTCACTGGCTTGACATGCCCTGCCAGGATTAGACATTCACCGTGGCCTTGCTTAGTTGCTTCTAGTGCCGCAGGCATGAAATACCGACCAGTATATGGGCTTGCTGATAGCTTTGCAATGCTTGAGTTTGGCTTTTCGTACAATCATCGCATCGCCCCAGGCAAAACCACAAACGAGACATCAAGAGATGGAGGAGGAGGAGGAGGAGGACGAAGACCAGCTATGCGTGGTGTGCTTGGCTTCTCCGAATCTTGGCAGTTGGGCTTGACAGACAACACATGTCTTTGCACACATGATAGGGAGCTCATTTGAGAAGTCAGCGCGCAGGTGAGGAAGACTCCCGAGTTGTGGATTTGTTTCCAGTTGGTGTCCATCAATGGCGCCGCCGTGCACCGCTGTAGGGTGGATTGAATCGTTGGCCTCGTTTGGGTTAGTTGGTACGTAATTACTAGGATCCTGTACATCATTCCCCCGCGCAGAATGGACCCCGGCCACGAAGTGCATTGCAGTTGCAGGGTGGCACTGATTGCCATCCCATCCGAGTCACCAGCTGAGGAAGACTCACGCGTTTGTCCCTTGTGGTCATCGCGCCTCGGCTTGTCACCCTCCTGACGGGGTCCTTTCAGGCCGCCTGCTAGGATCGCACAGGGCATTGCTGCAGTGGGAGTGCGAGCAGGGCTATTGCTAATGGGTCTCTAGGTTGCCATGTTCCCTGAGTGGCCGGAGGACTCCCCTTTCAAGTGTTAAAGTAGTCGTAGGGATGGCCCACTTGGTATCAAGGAAAGTATGCGATTGACATCAGCGGAGCCCTCACACTACAACCAAGCAATTCAGGAAACTCACTCTGACTTGGCAAACAAAAGGGTGTGTTCAAGATCATGAAAACACTGATTGCGCCTTTAACCCTAGCGCGACAAAGCAACTATGCTTCCGCAGGTTCACCGGAATACGTACTATAGTTTCCAACAGATCCTACCAGTTGATTTCTTCCACCAACAAAAGGGGGCCATAAGGCAATGCAGGTGTGATCTTCCGGATTGGACAGCAGCCCCCGATCGTACGCTTGCCGAGGCTGCGTGTGCGCATCCTGCGCCAAAGTGGTTTGCCCCAACTCCAAGGGGACTTGCCCTGTCTGCCGCGCCGCGCCTTGGCTGGGCCAAGGTGCCCTTTTCAAAGCATCGGGCTGGGGATTGGGAGGCGACACCGGGGGGTCAGCTTCGTTTGTATTTTCTTGGCAAGCCATGAGCCCACTCGGAAAAAGAGTTCGAGTGCTAAACGAGGGAACAGTAACCAACACAAGTGACGGGGCAAGATTCACTGTTTGGGTGCCCCAAAGTCTGCCTTGGGCTTTCCGCGGGGCTCAGATGAGATCCGCCAAGCCGCACTTGCACAGGAGGCGCAGCACGTCATCCAAATCTTCACCTGAGGCCAGGTTGTGATCGGAAGATCCTTGGGTGTATAGCGGTTTGCCTTTTCTTGGCCAGCTCTCCATGTTGCTCGGCTCAATGCGCCAGGCAGACTGCGAAAAGGTTGGGTGTCAAAACCGGTACCCTTCAAATGCTAGCTTGTCGACCATACGGCCATTGGTTTTACTGGGCACGCTGAAGTGCACCAACTTGGCATCTGAAACTTCGGGGTCACTTCCAAGCTTCGACTCCTTGCCACAACTCATACTGCCATCATGCCTCTTAATTGTCAAAGCGGAGCTTCCACTCAAGCGAAGTGTTGCGGAATCCCCGAATGCGACAGGCTTTTGGCTGCCGAAGGGCAAGCTCTGAGCCAAGATCGGGTAGCTGGGAAAGGCAAAATCGCCGGACCCACTGTGTACAGGGGACTCGCGAAATGGCAACATGACCAACGCCTTTTCCCACCCTACGTTTACCTGTTGTGTGGTTGAATGGGCAGCCACTTATTCGAAGTGCCGTTTTTGGACCTTTAACTAGCTGACATTTGGCCATGTCCTGCCTTTCTGGCACAAAAGGGCCCTTATCACTTCAGGAGGCGGGGCCTGAGAAAAGGACCGGATTGGGTGACCAGACGCAGAGGTGTTGACTTAGGTGTGAGGCCATCATCATTTTCATCCTTCCTGCTCAATGTGTGTTTCTCAACATGGGTGACTCCAGTGAGTTTCCTTCTTTTTGTGCTTCCCTCCTTCCCTTCAAAAGCCACAGGAGTCGGCTGTGTTATTTGATTAGAAATCGCAAATGTCATTTGGCCGCAACTTGCAGATGTTAATTGTTTTGTTCTGCTTGGGTTATATTTACCAGGGAAATCTAAGGCTCCTGTTCTGGGAGCATAGAGGCATAGAGATGTCCATAAAACTTTGGTAGAAGGGCCCTGGGAGGAGGAGTGCGGCACCCCAGCCACGCCCTCGCCAGGCATGTCACTTCACAGCGCGAGGCAAGGCTGAGTACCTTACCAAAGGGAGGTTGTGAGTGGGGCTTTGGAGGGTGTCCAAGGCAAGGACGTGGATTGTTATGTGTCGATGCACCCCTTTCTGCCGTGAAACTAGGAGAAACCGCCCACAGGCTGGCCAAAGCAGAGGCGTGTCCAATGTGTGGGTTTGGTACCATTCGTGCATGGATTCAAGACGCCAACCTGGGCTCCATTACGTGGCCAATCTTTTGCCACTGAAGTCACCCACCAAATGAGTTTGGCAGGAAAGGGACCAAATCCAGATACTTTGGCTTGGTAAGGGGGTTTAACATCGAACTGGCCTCGAGCCAGCAATAGTGGCCTCGTGCCAAGCCATCGTTGCCCCTTCTCCAGCGACTAAAAAGGCAAGGAGCTGCACATTCCAACAGCCAGTTGCCAGCTTGGGAGGGCGAGCTTGATGCCTCCCTCCAGCCTCGCATGAATTTGTTTGGATGCCGCAGTGTGTTTTGCACATTCAGTTTGCTTTCATTGATTAGGTTCGTGCCGGGCTAGTATAGACAGTCTTGACCCGACCGCTCGAGAATACGCTGTTTGGGAAGCTGCCGTCATCCACACGTGCTCAGCTTTAGCCAAAAGTGTAAGCAGAGCGCTGCTTACCCACACCAGATTCGGAGGACCTGTCAGCAAAGTGGTGAAACCTGGTGAAACTGTTTGGTATGTGTGGCCTTGCTATGAGCTTGGATGAGCGAGTCCCTTTTGGCCAGAGCATCCCAACCTTCCGCTTAGGTCAAGTATCTCAGTTGCGCCCACATATTCCTCTTCTTTGTCTCTTTCAGAGTCCCCCCTGTTGGTGGTTTGTTTAAGAGCACAACCCAAAATTTGTCTCTTTCAGAGTACCGTTGGATTTGTTTAAGACCACAACTCAAGGTGAAATTCAATTCAGAGGAGCCCCCAACTGCCCAAGTGCCTGGAATTCTTTCAGACCCAAAGTCAGAGTGGCCCCTCCATGCCCCTCCCATCTGAAGATCACCTGATGGCCACGGGGCATTTCGCTTGGCTCGGAAGGGCATCGACGGCGAGAGCTTCTGGGGTCGGGATCCGAGAATGGCCGTAGTAGAATGGTCGGAGAATGGTGGGGGAATGGTGTTGAAGTGTTTTTTTTTTTTTTTTTTGTGGGGGGGGGGGGGGCAACATTGTGTTTTCTGCGTGGTGTTTTGTTTGGTTTGTTTTGTTTTGTGTTTTGTGTTTTGTGTTGTGTTGTTTGTTTTGTTTTGCTTGTGTTGTTTGTTTTGTCTGTATTGTTTTGTTTTGTGTGTTTTGTTTTGTGTTGCTTGTTTTGTGTTGTTTGTGTTGTGTGTTTTGTTGTGTGTTGCTTGTTTTGTGTTGTGTGTGTTGTTTTGTTTCGTTTGTGATTTGTTGTTGTTGTTTTTTTGTTGTTGTTTGTTTATATTGTATTGTTGTGTTTTGTTTGTTTTGTTTTTTGTCTTTGTTTGTGTGTTGTTTGTTTGGTTGTGTTTTGTTTGTTTTGTTTCGTGTGTTGTTTTGTTTGTGTTGTTTTGTTTTGTTTGTTGTGTTTTGTTTGTTTTGTTTTGATTGTTTTGTGTGTTTTGTTTTGTGTTGTTTTGTTGTGTTTGTATTGTTTTGTTTTGTTTGTTTTGTTTGTATTGTTTTGTTTTGTGTGTTTTGTTTTGTTTTGCTGGTCGTGTTTTGTTTGTGTTGTTTGGTTTGTGTTGCGTTGCGTGCGTTGTTTTGTGTAGTTTTGCTCGTTGTTTTTTGTGTTGTGTTGTTTTGTTTGTCTTGATTTGGTTTGTTTGTTTTGTTTTGCTGGTGTTTTGTTTTTCTGTGGTGTTTGTTTTGTTGTTTTGCTTGTGCTTTGTTTGTTTGTTTGTTTGTTTGTTTGTTTGTTTTGTTGTTCTTCTGTTGTTTTGCTTTGTTTGTTTTGTTTTGCTTGTTATGTTTTTTTTTTTTTTGTGTTGTTTGTTGTGTTGTTTGGTGTTTTTTCTGCTTTGTTTGTTTTTTCGTTCGCTTATTGTTTTGTGTTGTTTTGCGTGTTTTGTTTGTTTTGGTTTGTTTGTTTCAGTTTTTGTTGTGTGATTTGTTTGTTTTGTTTGTTTTGTTTGTTGTGCTTCTTATTATTCATGTTTGTTGTTTTGTTTGTTTGCCTGCTTTGTTTGTTTTGTGTTGTTTGCTGTATTTTGTTTTGTTTGCTTTGTTTTGTTTGTTTGTTTGTTTTGTTTTGTCGTTTTCATGTTGATAAATTCAATTTGGTTGTTTTGTTTGTGTTGGTTTGCTTGTTTTGTGTTGTTTGCTTTTTTGTGTGTTGTTTTGCTTGTGATGTTTTTTTTTGGTTGTTTGTTTTTCTTTTTTTTGGGGGGGCATCCTGCGTGCAACAACCATATGAGCAGCGTTTGTTTTCCAGATGATGGATTTTAGCTTCGTGGGGAACTCCCAAAAGGTCCGCGAAGGCACTTGTGCGATACATTGTGTACCGCGAAGCCCCGCGAAGCCACTTCGCGTAGCCCGGTAGCATTGACACAGGCGAAGCCACTTCGCGAAGCCACTTCGTGGTTTGAGTGTGTTGCGTGCTTTCATGGCAAGTGTGTTGTGCGCTTTCATGGCAGTAGTATTCCAAAGGTTGATGCTTAGAGTCAGCAGGCTACGACCAGATTACAGGAAGATTACGGGAAGACGACCGGAAGAGCACTGTGCGTTGCAGGCCTAGCTTTGCTAGAAACGATGGAACGCTTTCGCGAAGCCTCTGCGAAGCCCCCGCGAAGCCACCGCGAAGCCACCGCGGTCCAACGCCCCCTAGTCCTGAAGCTCAATGCTTCTCTTGCCGCCTTGTATCGCCCCCTTTGGCATGGACTCAACTTGATTCAACAACATGGGAGCGCAAACGTCAGAGATGTTTGTGGAACAAACATCCGCGAAGCCCGGCGAAGCCACTCCGCGAAGCCACAGTCTTGCCGCGAAGCCTCGCGAAGCCAACCCTTCCACAAATTCTGGCCCCGCGAAGCCCCCCGCGTAGCCTCCCCAGCAGTGTATAGGCCCTGAACCTCTAAAAAAAACAATGCTCATATGTGGTTTCTGTGTGTTTAAATGCTGCAGGCCCACCTGCAGCTAGGAAATGGACTGTGCCAAAGGTTTGAATGCGAGGCCAAGTGGCCTCGTGATTTGGGTGGTTACTGGTGACGGGCATTCGACAAGCATAGTTGGTAATGGGTTCCGGAGTGCGTTTCACAGGGTTGACTGCAAGGCTTGGCATCAATTTATGAAGTTGGTCAAGTTGGTTCCAGCAGGCCACCACCATGAGACTGTATTCGCGTTCAGGCAGAAAGCTTGGTCCATGGCAGGCTTTATCTTCCAGATGGCCAGCTTCAAGCCCCTAAAGACAGAAGTCCAACATGTTCGATGACCTGTTTTTGAGGGACCAGCCTTGCACACAGGAAGCACATTCATGCTTTTTCCCTGGCCTTTCAGTTGTCTTATGTCGATTCTCATTTATCTCTCCCCCGGTTGGTAAGACATGCAACTCCAGCTGTGCAGCCCGCATATCCTCATGTTCTGCTGCTAGCTGCCTTGGTCCCTGACACCTGGTGGACCCAGGTACAGCTACATCCCCGTCGGAGGCATCCCCTTGCCATGGGGCCCAGGCGCCAGCTGGCCCTGTCAGAGTGCGGCCCCCAGAAGCCTCAGCGCCCAGACGCAGTGGAGTGGGCGTGACCCAAGCGAGGTCTCAAGTGCATGAGTGCCGTCCACTGGAAGAACCCGTGCCTGGGCTGTTCCGTTGCGGTCCTACAGTTGTCCAGCAATATTTCAACAAGCCCATCTTTTGGTTTTTCTGTTTTCCCCGCGTTTCATGGTCTTCAGCATCGGCTTTTGGGCCAGTTTGGAATGGTCCTCCCATGTTCCTTACATTGGGTAATCCGGCCAACAGCACCATCCAGATGTATCGACCGAATGCGCGTCCTTCTGCAGGCAGCTCCCTGGGTGCGGCGTGCCGTGAGCCCCCACTGCGATGTGCTGAGACTTGTTTGTGCACTAGCGAGCGGATCTGGGGGTGATCCTATTGCTGTAACATGTGTTAGCAAAGCTCGATACTTTGTCAGTTGGCGCGGGCTTCTCAGGAGCAAGGCCCCGTGCACGCAATCACTAACACAAAGGCATCACACAAACACAACCGCTACAAACACTCGCAACCACGCGCACACACACGGGTAGACCCACTTCAGGTCAATCGGCAAGCCGTTTGTGCCGTATCCAGCTGTGCAGATCGCCAGCTTGCGTTTACTGCAAGGATCTCGCAAGTCCGAGAGACGGCCAAAAGACTTTGATTGTATTTTCCGCGATGGGCAACCAAAAGATGATGAGCCAATATGAGTAAATTGTTTTTGTTGTTTGTTCCGTTCATGTTGTTCACCAAGGAGCCATCAAGAACGAGAAATAGAAATAGAGAGAGAGAGAGAAAGAGAAAGCCAAAAAGGCAAACATACAGACGAACAAACAAACAAGCAGAGAACACACAAACACACAAACAAGCGTGCAAGCAAGCAAAAACGAACAAACAAGCAAGCAAGCAAACAGACAAACGACAACAGCCAAACACAACGAACAAACAAACAAGCAAACGAACAAACAAACAAACAGGGTAACAACCCACAGACAGACAGACAAACACACAATCGCAGCATACAATCAAAGGAAACACAAGCAAACAACGAAGCAACCAAGCACACACTCAAACCAAGTAAACATGATAACAACCCACACACAGACAGACAGACAGACAGACAGACAAACAAACAAACAAGCAAACAAACAATCAAGCAAACAAACAAACAAACCAACACACAAACGAGTAAACAGGATAACGACACACAGACGGACAGACAAAGAAAGAATGAAAACACATCACAAACAAAAAACAAACAAACAAACAAACTAACTAACTAACAGACAAGCAAACAAGCAGACAGACAAACAAACAATCAATCAATCAATCAATCAATCAATCAATCAATCAATCAAACAAACAAGCAAACAAGCACACATGCACACATGCAAATCAACAAACAGTCAAAAGCAAACAAACACATGAATACGGAAAGAAACAAACAAACACCTACAGACAGAAAGAACGAGAAAACACAAAGAACACACACAAACAACCCCCCACACACACACACACACACACACACACAAAACAGTCAAACAACCACACACACACACAATATGCAAACAAACAACCAATGAAACAGAACAGAAACAAGGAAATGAAGACAGATACCCAGCAAACATCCGCAACTTCCCAATGTTTCAGGCGCAGAGCTCCTGGCTGAGTTGCCTCCCGCGCAAGGTTGCGGCTCGCTTTGTCGAGTGACAGGGTCACCCAGCCACCCACCAAAAAAATACGTGCCATAGGTTTGGGGCGGACATGGGAGGGATACTGTAGTTTGTCCATGTCTTCTGCAATATTGCCCGCGGCTCCCACAGACCAAACCATTCAGTCGGAAAAAGTTCAACGGTGACTTGAAGCGAGCCAAACAATTCTTTGCTCGCTGCGGGTTTGGTCCAGATGGCCTTGCTATTCGAAAAGGGAGCCTCAGCACCATGAGAAAAGATCACAACTTGCCATCAATTTGTTGGTTCATGGCCAAGCAAAGGTGACAGAGAGCATCACCAAACAACCCTGCCGTGGCCACTAATCTTTGCAGTCTTGCGCCAAATTAGATCCCAGATTGAGAAGCCCCTGGTCCTGGTTGAGTATAAGAGGGCGTTTTCTTTTCGAGGGGTCTTTCACCCAAAATGTGGTAGATAACGTCCTTTTAGCATCGGCTGAAATTGGGTGGTTCTCCAAAGGGGCTAGAGCCAACCTTCTGGACTTCATGTTGGGGATGCTCCCAGACTGGAGGTTCCTAGCAAGAGGGTCTGAATGCGCGGCTGTTGGATTTGAATCACGGGCTGCTTGGCCCGCTAGGCCCGCAGATTTCAAATGCATGGATTTGCTTTGGCCTAAAACACCGCTCCTACAAGCAGCAAGGCTCAGCGAGGTATGTCGCTGTCGATGCCGTGTTTTCTCATCCCGCGCCTGCTAGATTTTTGTTGGCCGCACCGACAGGCCGCACCTTCATGGCGCCGGCCGGGGGCTGGGTGGGTGCTCAGCGCGATTCGGACAAAAGTGTGGCCCAGGCACATACTTGCACTCGCGCTGGGCAGAGGAACCAGGACGCATAGCTGATCCCTTACTGGTGTGTTTTGATTTCATCTATCATACAGATGTGCGCTGCTTTGCAAAATGACCGCAGAAGAAAACTGCAGCTGTGCCAAGACAGTACATGCGATGATTAGGCACATGGCACAGAGCGTATGAACTACTGATTATCGCGAGCCTATTTGGGTAATACGGTTGGTACCAAAAATCAATGGTCAGAGCAATCAGGAGCATTCAGAGGTAAGAGGGCATGTGCGAAGGTGAAAAAAACAAAACGGGCGCCGAACACGGTCTATTTTTTGTTTCTTTAGGGAAGACGTTATAAGTTTATACTTCTCACATCCGCATCCGCCGGGTCGCCGATGCCCTTCTATGACCAAGTGAGCCGCAATCAAAACCCGGGTAGATGAAGGTTAGTAGTTAGTAAGGGACTCTTAAGGGACACTCCCAGCTGCGCAGAGAAAACTTGTGCAGAGAAATGTGCGCAGAGAACTTGCTCAGAGAGTGGGAGAAACTTGCTCAGAGAAGGTTGCTCAGAAAACTTGCGCAGAGAAGCTTGCTGGGCGAACTTTGCTTTCGCCCCCCCCCCCGTTCTTCTAGTGTATGTTTGGTTGGGGGTTCCCCGACCTTGTTACGATCCCACATGCGTGTGTATATATGCATATATATATATATATAATACCCCAGGCGATCCCAGGCAACCCCCCTGTTGCTTTTTCTAAAAGGGTGGTTTCTTTGGTTGCCTACACAAAGAAATGTAATCACTGAGTATAAAATGAGGGGTCCGTCAAATCATTGCTCGCAAGGGCCTCTTGTGACTCAATTTACTTGAATTGTCCACACAAGCAACGCCCCGCCTCAGTCTCATGTCATGCTTGAATTTCGACAGCGAGGATGGAGTTGAACTGCAGGTGGGTTCGGAATGTTTAACACTTCTTTCGGTGTCGCCTGTAATAACGCAATATGGTGAGTTGGTGGTGAACACTGGCGAGAAGTTGGTGACGCTTGAGAAGTAAGCAAGTGAGAGTTTTGTGAAAATGTGGGGCTGCTGTGAAAGGAGCGCAGAGTAACAGTTTGAAAGCGGTGAGAAGATTGAGAGTCAGAAGATGGTGGGCTGGATAAAAGTTTGCAAGTTGGTGAAAAAATGTGAACAGATGCTGGGTTTGTGAAACGTGTGCAAGTTGAGGAATCTGCGAACGTCTGCCAAATTTGCGAACAGACAACAGAAAAGTTGGCGAGTTGGTGAACCTTTTGGTAAGTGGTGAAAAGATGGCGAAAGAATGACTTTGTAGAACAAAATTGGTGACAAGAAGGTGAACAGACGGTGGGTTGCAAAAAATGCTCGTTGGTGAAAAGATGGTGAGCTGGTGGACATCTGGCAAGTTGGTAAGACGCTTGTGAAAAGATGGCGAGTTTGTGAAATTTGGCAAGTTTGCGAAGAGATGGTGAAACGATTGTGGGTTGGTGAACAATTTGCAAGTTGGCAAAAGAAGGTGAAATGCCGGAAAGTGGGCAAGTTGGTGGACAGATTGTGAGCTGGTGAATATTTGGCAAGTTGGTGCAAAGATGGTGAACAGATCGCAAACTGCTGGCATTTTGACAAGCTTGCAAAATGTTGGCGAAAGCTAAAATTTGGCTAGTTGGTGAAAAGATGTGAAAAGATGGTAAACAGGTCGCAAGTTGGTGAAAATATGGTAAGAAGATGGTGAACTGCCGAATGTTGGCAAGTCGGCAAGCAATTGGCGAATTTGTTTCTTTGGCAAGTTGGTAAAAAGTTGGTGAGTTGGTTAAAAGATGGTGAACAGATGCTGAACTGCCGAAAATTTGGCAAGTCGGTGAAAAGTTAGCGAACTTGCTCTTCTGTTTACAAGTTGGCAAACACATTGTGAGTTGGTGAAAAGATGGTGAACAGATGGTGAGCTTCCGAAAAATTGGCAAGTTGGTCCAATTTGGTGAATGTAAGTCGGTGAACAGATTGGGAAAAGATGGTAAAAAGATGATGAGGTGTCGGCCTCAAAAAAACAGCTCCTCAAACCCAAAATCGTTCTTATAACACTATGTGTGCATAAAGTGTGGAATATGCAAAACCTGAGGGCACACATGCATAACTTCTGCATAACTTCTGCATAACTTACGCATGCAAAAACATAGGCTGCATAAACTTCTGCATATATGCAAAAGTTATACTGATTTTAGTCGGGGAAGTTCTGCATATATGCAGAACTTGTTTCTGTCGGTGACATAGGTTGCATAAATCAAATCCTATGCAGAAGTTATGCATAGGTTATGCGTAAAACGGTTTTTTATACGCAACAATCATTGAACAATACATACGCCGCATAGAATGGAACCAAGTTCTTGGAAATAGAGGAGGATCGTATGTCAGATATAAGTCTGTTTATCAGGTGGTTAACCTATGTCTAGCTTAGATTTGTTTGGCTATGTTGCGGCGGACTTGTAGTAGACTTAGGAGTAGCTACTCGGGAAAGTAAAATATAATAAGTGTTTACATATCCTCTACTAAAAGATATGGAAGATATGGAAGATATTAAAAGATAGTATATTGTTTGTCTTATCTTTGTTTATCTTTTATTGTTTTTGATTCTATTTTTTAAAAACATATTTTTGTATTTAAATATGTTTTTTTACATTTTTCAGCAGTTTTCATTGGGGTTTGCCAGTTTAGATAGCGAGCCATATGTGCTTTTCAAGCAAAAGGACATTGCTACTATTACGAGGCGCATCAGCTGTATTGTGATGAAGGCCCCCAAAAAAAATCAGGCCGACCAAGCAGGCCAACTACGGTCAAGCTTCACAAAAAATTGGCAGCCACATACAGCAAAAAGATAATCATTTCACGAAAAGCGGCAGGCCGACCAAGCAGGCCAGTGAAAAGCCCTGCTGCGCAGAGAAAACAAGGCAGGCACACACAGCAACCAAACTAGAAACCTAATGGGAAAATCCCACTTCAAGAAAAGCAGCAGGCCGACCAAGCAGGCCAATGACAAGCCCTGAAAAAACCAACTGCACAAAAAACACTGGCAGCCACACACAAGAAGCAAACTAGAAGCCCAATGGAAAATTGCTTTTCAAGAAAAGCAGCAGGCCGACCAAGCAGGCCAGTGACAGGCCCTGGAAAAAACACCTTCACCAAAAAACAGGCAGCTAGAGACAACAAGCAAGCTAGAAACCCAATGGAACAATCCTACTTCAAGAAAAGCAGCAGGCCGACCAAGCAGGCCAGCGACAGGACCTGAAAAAAACACCTTCATCAAAAATGGCAGCTAGAGACAACAAGCAAATGGGAAGCTCTACTGAAGAAACCCCACTCCATGAAAAGCAGCAGGCCGACCAAGCAGGCCAGTGCCAGGCCCTGAAACAAATCCACCTTCCCCACAAAACATGGCAGCTATAGACAAGAAGCAAATGGGAAGCTCTACTGAAGACATCCCACTCCCTGAAAAGCAGCAGGCCGACCAAGCAGGCCAGTGACAGGCCCTGAAAAAACCCACCTTCACCAAAAAAAATGAGCTAGAGACAACAATAGATACTAAGTTCAGACTAAGTGTCCGGTATCTAGACTATGTACTTATTTTCTCTTATATCTGCATTATCTTGCCACGAGCCTTCCTAGTATTATGTGAATGTCGTGGTAGTCAAAGGAATTGAACAGTGAACGCATCAGGTGGATGACACTACTACATATGATACACGATGCTTGGGTTTATGTTGTGCACTTGGCCTGCGTGAGAAAATGAAGGTCCGGCTGATGTCTGTATCGGCGGCTGCCATGACCACAAGCTGAATTTGCACTATTCTGGCAAACCAGAGGTTAGTTTGTATGAAACTAGGTTAGGTTGCCCTGTTTTGCCGGGGGAAGGGCTTGTCACACCTGGGTACACCCGTGCAGAATCCTATCCGTCACCCAAATCGGCTCGCGATAATTAGTAGTATGAACAAAGGATGGCAATGATGCAATGAGTTGCGCAGAGGCTGCTCGTTGGCTCAGCCTTCTTAAATCCTGTTTGCATTTGCGAGGCAGGTCCGTCTTTATTCCCGTAGCCAGAAGCCATTACAGCAAAATGCCAACCACGCATTGCTCACTGCCTCGTTTTCTTCTAGCCTTGAGCTGTTTCGGGCATGAGAGGCCAGCTGTCCAAGAACTGTTCAGAAGTTACCTTTTGTTCGTTCATAGTAGTATGGCCTGTGATACTATGCTCAGTGTCCTTCAATTCAATGTTTGGTTCCCCACGGTCCTTTCAACAGGGGCAGCCTGTGATTTGAAGGGTTGCGGAGGCTGTCGGCTGCACGTCTATAGGTCCGTGCTCGCCGCCATGAGCGATTCGAAGGCCATCGGAGGGAACGGCCCGGTTTCTGCGCCACAGCCATGTATTCCCTGCAAATCCCTGTCAAGAGGTTGCAACAACTCTGTAGTTGTCACTGCGAATCTCTTTTTTCAATGGGAGTTCCCGGGAGAAACGCGGAAAGCTTAAAGCTGGCTGTTTTTAAGAACGAACTCAGAGTTATTACCAATTGGAATGTGTGTGTGTGTGTGAAATGGTGCAACATTTTACATGTTTATGAATATGTATGTTATTTGTAAATATCAACTCACATGTAAACATACATATATTATATATATATATATATATACATATGTATTTGCGTGTGTGATTGGGGCGGCATGTGCTTCAGTGAATGTTTCCGAATGAAGGCCCACTCCGATTTGGGTCCAGGGTCGGGTTCTCCGGAGTCTTCCCGGCGAAGGAACGAACTTCCAGTTGACTAGTAGGGTAGGGGGTCTCATTTTTTGGGAGGTCGTTCTTTTTTGGGGAACACCTCCACAATTATCCGTCAGGCTTCGATTCTGCTGCCAACATTGCCCATTCGCTTTACAAGCGGCAGGTGTGTGCCTGCATTCCACCGTGCCTTCCACAGTCAGAATCAAACAGCAAGGAACCCCAAATAACCCCAAGGAGAAACCAACACGGCGTCAGCCACTCAAACTCAAGCCCTCGGCTCTCTCGAAACCATTTTTCAAGTTTTCGACCTGGTTTCGGCTGATTTCTGGGCAAGCGGGTGTGGGCCCTGGGGGGGGCCTTCAAGAAAGAAACGATGCTAAATCAAGAGTGCAACAGAAGAAAGGGCCTGCACCAATGGGAGTCGTAAGTTCCAAAACTGCTGCTGTAGGGGCGAGCCAGGAGATGCCCCGGCCAACAAGAAAGTTCCGAAAGGCCCGAGGTTCTACTGGAGCCACTGGAGAAAAGGTGGATGTTTCAAAGGCCTGCTGTCAGAATTGAACATCGCTGATTTGAAGGTCAGAGATAGTGACGACAGAAAAGCGAACTTGCTCGGAAGGAGCCACTTCTGCTATTGTTGTATTCAGTGTATTGTATAAGCCTTCACGAAAGTCCTGGTGATGCCAATGTGCAACGTTGCAAGCTTTGCAGCACACCAGACATTGCGGCAAACAAACGACGTGCCGAGACAAGTGGTCCACTTGTTGTGGACGTTAGGCCCCGTGCCTGACCTGCTTCTCAAGAACTCTGACCAACCGGGTTTATACTCAAGCTCACATGGAAGCCAACCAATGCGGCGATCCCTTTCCACAGGGAATCCGCGGAGCCCGGCGAAGGAGACGCGTCAGATTGCGACGGCCGAGAGCCCAGCCTGGGTTAAAGACATGCGAGAGATCCCGTTGCCCCACTGGCATCCGTTTTCCGTTTTTGTTTGGTGGCTTCCACTGTAAAAACTGTCAACCCGGAAAAAAAAGGGTCCCTGCTTTCGGTAGCTGAACAAGGGTCATATATAGTTGTCCAACCACAAGTTCGTTTTTGAAGAAGGCTTTGCTCCCACTAACAGGGGATATCAATTTTGGATCAATGCGTTTGCGGGGGCCCAAAAAAATTGTAGAGCCCCTCTTGAAGAAGTTTGGTTGCTTGTCAATTTCAGGTTTCCTAGTGGTTCGATATGGGTCGATGGGAGATGGGCATCGCGAGCATGGCCCGTTCATCAACTCAAGCCCTGCGTGTGTGAGACGCGTGGGTATGTTTGGAAGCATCGATGAAACAACCAGTTCTGACCGGATGAATCAGGGCTCCTTGAAAGATACTATTTGGCCGTTCGACACATTACCTTTTTCACCGCCACATGCTTGTTGGCTAGCGTTCAGGCAGATGATGCAACGAGCCCTGTTTGTGATTCACGGATTCGTCGGAGCCACATGTTGATGAATATCCGGAGTTCAGAACGCGAGGACTGCAGCCTTTGGTGGCTGTCCAGCGCTGAGCATCCTGGTGCAAAGTCTTCGCCAAAGTTTTCGGCAGCCTTCTGCTTGGATTCATAAGTCTGCAAACAGTGGTTCGGATATCGCATCGGCAGAAATGAATTGTGTATCAAAGTTAGTAGTCTATGTACTGAGTTGCCCCCTTGAAGTCGATAAGCGTGAACCGCTTTGGAAATGCATCACTTGCCAGTCAGCCATCCTATTCGCTTCACCACCTTTGCGCGGCAAATATTTGATATCAACTCCTGCTTCGACATCACATTCCATCAGAGCTGTCCCGTAACCATTTGGCGAAAGCCGATCGTTTTCTTTTTTAATCTCCGTCTAGTAGGTCAACCTAAGGCAGGTGAGTTTCAAGCGGCAGCACTGCTGCATGGCCAACAGCAGCGTGACATTTGCTCAGGATGTGGATGCATGCCAGGGATTTCTGCGTCAGTGGCCCCAGCAATGCTCCATAGTGCCCCAATTCGGGAGCACGTCGCAATGCGTAGCTTGCCTGAAGCCCCACGAAAGGAGCTGCCTCCGTTTGCCCAACGTGTTGGAAGGAGGGTTAAAAAACAACACCAGATCATTGAACCGTTCAGGTGCGCTTGTTTCTTGTTTGGTGGCGGAGGTCCACGTTCCGCATGACAGCGCAGTTGCTTCAGCAAGGTTCCACTGCGCCAGCAGGTGGAGATTGGAAAAGGAGAGTTCTTGAAGTTCAGAACCTATCGTGTAACATCAAAGCTTGCACACGGAGCTTTATCACCCGAAGTATAATTGCCATGCAATGATTGGCCTTACAGTATCGTTTGACCTCTCAGTTTGCTGTTACAGCGAGGGAGGGAGATGCACGAGGACTTGCACACTTTTCGTGGTTTTGCTTAGCTGCGTAGATCTTTGCACATAGCATGAGGTACAGTTCTCACTGATTTCAAAGGTCTGGCATTTCTTTGTTCAATGAGGCAGCCAAGTTTTAGGATTGAGGTATAGTTCGCAATGATTTGAAAGGTCTGGCCCATTTGTTCAATCTCGCCGTTGATCATTTGATTTGCTTGATTTCATCGGGGGAGCCCTCGAGTTGTTGCTGGTTGAATCTGTGCAGATCGCAGACGGCCTCGGCCCAGGCCACGCCTCGTTTCGGGGCTGCCCCCTGCGCCGGCCCTTCGCCATCCCGGCGGGGCCGGAGCAGGGAGATGGCTTTTTCTCCCCGAGGTCAATAGAGGTGGGGCCCCCCAAAGGTCCGGGAGACTCGGAGAGAACATGCCCCGGGATTGCATGGTAATGTTATAACCCCTGGTTGAATAGTGGGGTGTCCCCTTTTAGTGGAGGGAACACCCCCCTAATACTGGAACAGATTATGAATCCTGAATCAACATTATCACAGAAAGGGTGAGTTTTCACATGTCCAAAAAGATTCTACAAGCATGGGCGTTTTCGCACGAGCATGTCCGCTCGCTCGTGCCAAAGTAGAAGTGTACGTGCTCCTGAAAGCCAGCGAGGGAAAGATAAATGTGAAGGTAATCTTGGTACTCCGGAGTTTTGCTTTTCTTGTTTTCCACCCCATGTGGGAAGGCATCCAATGTTTGTTTGTTGCTAATGTGCACTTGTGGAGAGAAACCTCAGCCTGGAATAACCACCTCCTTAAGAGGAGGTATCTGTCCTTGCTGGCCAAATCCTTGGGTGACGCAGTGAATCAACGCTACGTCTTTCTGGTGCTGGACGTTGCGTTTTGAATTTGTTTTTCTTCGCTGCTGGTGATGGGACCTTGCATTTGTTTGGCCAAGCATCCAGTGCGTCCTGTGTTCGTTGCTCAGCAGGCATTCATGGTGACTGCAGGGCAGAAGTCTCATGGAATACAACTTACTGAGAATGCAGTCTGATATATAGTCTGGTCTGCATGTCTGTGCCATACAATACGCAGTCGCTCCAAATGGCTTTGCCTCGATGCCCGCAAGCAAGCTGTCTAGTAGTGTGGGGTACGGTCCTCCTCATCAATTCCAGGCATGTTTTGCATTTGTCGATGCGTCAGGCTGAGAGGGAGCAGCGCTGCTTGGCAAAGATGGAGGAACGGAAGGCACAGTTTTTGCGACACCTCGCTGCGAACGGCGCTGCTTTGCGGGTGCAAAGAGAACCATGTTTTTTTGGAAAGCTTTGTGGTGCAATGTTGGCAGCCTTTATTTGGGTTTTGGGCCACGCGTGGGCATCTGCGTGACGCATTGACATAGGCTTGCAAGCACACGATTTTGGTTTGTTTGGCATGTTAGCATCGACAGTCTTTTGATGCAACTTGTAAGCAGTGAGGACAGGGACATATTCTTGAACATCTGCACCGCTCCACTCCACACGGTGCGGAAGCACGCAGAAGGTTTTGTGGCAGGGATCTCTTGGAAAGATTAGCTTTGGCGTTTAATATGAACTGCTCAGTTTTTGCATGTTCCTTTCCGCGCCCACACTCGCAGAAGCAAAGCTTGTGAAACAGAAGCTGCGGAAGGACGCGGAAGCAGACGATGGAAAACATGTACCACGCTTGGCCCGTAGCAAGGATGCGAAAGGGTGCGCGGTAGCTTGAGTAGTTTCCAAGCAAGAGCTTAAAGATGTTTAACGTTGGACCACCTTTTAGCGTGTCCCGCCCCCACCGAGGAACAGTGTCAACAGGCGTTTGGACCCTTAGGGGAACGGGGCAACCCCAAAGAACAGCTTGACAAACAATCATCAGGAGCTCCCGTGGGCCTTCCCTTTTTGTGAGCTTGTTTGGGCTCGTGTGTGATATTTCCGAAAAAAGAAGAAGAAGTGATTTTCTGAAACTTGCAAAAACAAAAAAAAACATTAGCCGCCGAGTTGGGATAGGCTTAGATAGACCACCCTTAGCAGAAGGCAAATTGCATTTGTCCGCTTTGTTGCCTGAATTTTCTCTCGGGAAACCACTTTCTATTGTTGAAATTTGTTGAAGATCCCTAAGAGAGTGGCGGGATCCTGAATCAGGATAACGAGTTTCTACAAAAGAGGCCCCACTTACAACAGATGTCCATCATTGAAGGGAATACAAACATAGAACCCAAGGCTCATGTGTCTTCCAGAGCCATTCCCTTACCGAGCTTGTGGCTCGCCGAGGTGACTTGTTGCAAAATCGTTGGTGCGTGGAATGAGGAGAGACATTGGGAGGGTTCTCCGAGCCCTTGCAGGAGGAAGCCTTGGCTTTTTTCGCGCCGGAAAGCGAACACGTCGATGGATCTTGGGGTTTGTTTCCCGCAGTTCAGGCTGTCCCCCGGAGGCGTGGAAGGGGCGGGCATTGGTCAAGCTGCAAATGACCGACCCAAAAGGGTAGGTGAGGTCCGTTCAAAACCCCTCTCTCAGTACTGTGTGTGTTTTTTTGGAATAGTCCCGGACCTCATGTGGTCAGTGGCCCCAGGTGCCTCTGAAGGGGTTCCCCAGAAAAAGATTTTATTTGGCTCGTTTTGGCACACACTTTAGCTTCATTGTGTAGCGTGTTTAGGGCAGGCCAGGATATTAAAAGGGACAAGCAGCCCTCCGCTATGCACCAGGGTTTTTGCCTCAAGATGAAGAGCCTTAGCCCCAAGAGGGTATGCCCGAACCTTATGGCAGCATGCTGCAGTGCTGCATATCATACGAGCATTGCAGAGGCTGCAATCCATAGGTTGCCGCAAAGCGCTCGGTGCATTCCGACCCGTAGGCTGGACCACTCGCTGGTGTAGTGGGCCCAGCCTACAGTGTTGCTAAGAACAGACTGGAACGATATAGCAAGACGGCGGTGCTTACATTCCCCTTGCGGAAGGATGACACATTGCACTTTCCATTCAAAAGGACATTCCCTGCAAGAGCATGTTTTCGTAAGGGGGGCTGTTGGCAAATCACTGGTACTTGTACGGTTTTGCTGGTTTTGCTCGCACATGTTGCTGCTCATCATTGCGGCTGTCATGGCCGTCCTGGCTGTGTTGCTCATAACATTGCAATGTCATGGTCACCAGCGCGTTTCTCATGAACAGCGGGGAAGGCAGTGACTTCATTGAGAGGTTGTTTGGGAGGCTGTGTTCCCGGTATCAGGGCTGCAATTGGTACAATGCACGTGCAAACAAAGGCTCGGTGACTTCCCCCAGTCACTTTTTTGTTTGACCCAAATGTGGCTGACGTTTGTAAGTGCAGTTCCCGTTGTAGACAAGCTCAGTGCCTCAAGCTGGAGGTTGTTGGCTCACCAGACATCAGCTTTGGAGGCAGGTCTGCTGCGTTCAGAAGTGCTTTTTGGGCTTGTCCGATATCCTTGGGGCAAGCGAAATCAATGTCAATGTTGGCAGACTTTTTGCGTAGGGTTGGCCCTGCCGACCAGAGAGTCCCTTTCAGAGAATGCTCTTCGAGGACTTTCCGGTCTGAGTGGAATGCCTGCCCAGTGCCTTTTTGGTGTGAGGAGGAAGGGTTTGTGTTTGTGCCATCAACTCTTAGGGGACAGAAATTGTTGCAAAAAGATCAAGCGGGCTCTAAGTGCTCACAGGCCGCCCAACTACTTCAAAGCACTATAAAGCAAGCAGGCCACGTCCGATGTTCAAGTTTACGGCTGTTGCACTGAACCATGCCAGAGCAAGCCCGCTCTTTTCAAACACATCGGGAACGGTCCTGCAAGTGCCTACGGGTCTCTAATCTAAGCGCCGGACAAACAGAAGCAGCAAAGTCCAAATTGAGCTCTCGAACTGTTTTCTCCTAACAGTCAAGGGATACTATACGAAGCAAGCAAAACCGTGTCTTGGAAAAGTCACCCTGGCTTACTTTGGAGGACACGTCTCGCTGCCTGGCCGTGCGCTCCGCAGATGTGCCGGGCGCAAAGTGTTTCCAGGCACGAGTGCAGTAAGTATCTCACCAACCTTGTAGTTGATCAATAGCTCTTTGGAAGCATTGACCTTTGAAATCTGACCATGCAACCTTTTGGGTTTGCAAGTGGCACTGGAGAAGTGTTCCTTAGAAATTGACACGCGTTGTGCCGGGGCAAGCACATGTTGTATGCACGCACACACACACACACACCTACAGCAGCCTTGTGCTCCATCCGGTGAACTCAGTAAAGGAATCCAGCCCTACTGCAGGCACGATGGACGCCTGAAAGGCATCGCTGTCTGGGACTTGCTATGGGCGCTTCCCTCCAGTCAGATGTGGCGTCTAGAAGTTTACTTCTGCAATTCCAGATGTCCCTTTGCTCTTTTCCCTCTGCACATTGCCTCCGTCCAAACCACCAGAGACATATGGCATAGCGGCTTTTCCCTTCCGATTTCCCCTCCCTTTCCCACGTTTCCTTTCGCTTCCTTCAGTCTCATGCCCTTTTTTGAATGTGAGCTCTGAGGTGTGCAGTCCTATCCGCAGCCGGGACCCCCAGCCGCCAATCACTAGCACATGGAGTTCTTGTAAGGACTCTTTGGACCAACCCCTTCGCTTGACAGTTCTTGGATGTTCTTGGGATGGTTATTGGTTTTCACACTCCTCTTCTTGGCCCTGTTTGTGCTTTGCGAGCTGAGAACAATGCTTCTTGTTGACACTACTGAATTGGGGGCGGGTTCGGGATGAATTTGATGTTTGAAGGCCGGCTGGGCACGGGCACTGACATGACTATCCCCCGAGCAAGGCTTGATGTTCCTGCATGCAGTGCCCGTTTATGCGCTCCCCTTTTTAATCTCCTTCACGGAAGGCCAGGTGCCGGTGTTGGCTTGTGTGCGTGTTTTTTTCTCTGCCTTTGAGGTGGTGCGTCTTCAGATTGCCGCAGGCTTAGAGAGAAAAGCCACCAGCGCTGGCGGTTGAATGGGTGAGTCCAGCGAAGCCGACCTGAGCGGGCTGAAGCTGTCAACCTGCACGCAAGACTCAGGCTGCAGGATCACTGGATCACCCAACCTTGGACAGCCTGTGCTTTGCAAAGCTTGTGTGGTCAAGAGACTGGTTTAGCGTTGATTTTCTGATGGACCACTGCTGATGTTTCTAGAACTCAAATTCTTTGCCGCAGGAGCCGTCGCGATAGAGCAAGAACACTTGGATTGACCATGGCACGTGTGCATTGTCCTTCTGCGATTTCAATATCCAGCCTTGGGATGTATGGGGGGACTGCTTGACCTCGACGTTGGAAGAGCATCCTCCCACTGCGTTTGCAAAGCGACATAATCGCCATGGAGCTGCGAGGCTCTTGTTGGAGACAACGTTTACCTTTGGACGGGCAAAGGAAGCGAATCCCAAGGAAGCCAAATCTTCAATAGGGCACTGTGTTTTCCGCGCGGGGTCCAAATGATACTTCAATTTTCCCAAAGAAGAATCACCAGAAGGGGGCAGCGTTGTCTTGGCTCTTCTCAAGGCTCGCTGCCGGATTTGCCGGCCATGGACGCCAGCATCTCAGGTTCACTGGATTCCCGTTGCAGAGTTGGTGCTTGAAGTTGGCGACCTCCCAAGGCTGGGGCATGTGGGTCCAGCGATCGTGATGGCCTGAGAATGCAGATGGTTCAAATGGAGCAAGTGTGGTTTTTGGAGAGGACCAGGGAAACCGCCCCGGTTTTGCAGGCTACCCTCTTTGGAGACAAACCCTAACCAACCCAAATGTTAGGTAGTAGCCTGTTGCCTGTTTGTTTCTCCATTTGCTCCATCATTTTCTTATTGTCAAAGTCAAGGAAGCCCCAAGGTACAGCCTTGAATCAGATTGTTCCCTCAAGTCGGCCCCCCTCTCCAACGCCAATGATTTGGTTGAGAATTTTCTTAGTCATAGGGGCCAAGCCATCTGGCTTCTGAGATTCTGGGACCGGCGAGCCCGGAGTGGCGCCGATTCCCCGTTCAAACCAAAGGAGTTCGAGCTCCCATTCACAGCACGACACAGGCCCATTCAACGGACAGCGGAATCCTTGTTCGTACTTGCTTTGGCTTCCGAAACTCTACCTAGATGGGCTTATTTAATATGGCCGGCTGCAGTTGTGCCTCCAGGAAACGGACCATAAAATTTTACCTGGATCATAGCCATGGGCTTGTTCAGTATGGCTGGAATCCTGGAATGGCGCCCCCAATGTCCTTTCGTGCCTTGAAACGGAGTGGCATGGGTTTACATGATCTGCTCCGTGCCGGGCAGACAGCTGCTTGATCGCTTTTCACCCAAGGCCGCAGCCTGCAGGGATCCAAGGCGGGACGGGGCCCCGACGCCAACGGGGCGGAACATGGGTGCCTCCCACAAGAGGATGGGAATGATCTTTGTTCAATCGGCCGCAGGGCTGAACTCCCTCCATATCTAGAGGAGTTTTCTCTTCAAAGAAGCCAGGAGGACTTTCCAATCTTTCCATGGTTCATTCCGGACACCCTAGTTTGGTCAGTGCCATGTTATACATCAGGGGCTTGCGCTTCTGAAGGGCGTGCACCCCTGAGGTGAAGCCAGGAGATCAGTGGCGACCTGAGGGGCAAGGGGCGAGTGTTGGGCAGGCTCAGTTTGGATGCGGGTTAGGGTTCAATGTTCACCTACCATGTTCTTGGACAAGTGAATGGGTCAAACAAGCTGAAGAAAATGTCAACATGTAATAGGCAGCCTTACTAGAAGGCCCTGCCTGATTGGGCGGCTCTGCTTATGCACTTGTTGAATGTCCTTTGCAATGCCACTTTCCGAGAGGAAGATAGCCGATCTAGGATAATCTAGATTTTGCCTGTCCACGTCGACATTCTGGTGGCCCTTCAGTCGGAAGGTGCCTCAATACTCCCAGTGGTGTGTTCCTTTAGCTTGATAGGGCCAATTTACCTTGTACTGTCGACCCCCAGACAAGTGCATGTTCCAATGCAACCGTATAGGATAATTTCGCTCTCGCCACTTTGGCTTCAACCTGTTCAAGCTATTTTGACGTTTCTTGTCCCCTAAGTGAAGAACGAAGGGCAGCAGTAGTGGTTTACCGCCATATACTGGCATATAGTATGTGGAGGCAACCAGGTGTTGCTTGAAAGAAGCCCGATGTGAGATCTGGCTCAATTCAAGCGCGCAACAGGGCACTCAGAGAGACCTCGTCAGCCATGCCCGAGGAGGCGAGGCTCAGATGAAGGATAGCCTCCATCCAGAGGATCTCTTTCGACATAGTTGTGTAGCTTTTGGCAAGAACCCGAGATGTGGTTTGGAACAAGATGGTCTCGCGTCCACTTCCAGGGCTCAAAACAGTCATAACGTTCATCGCTTTTGACAGTCGTCGAAACCTCGCGTCAGTTGGACAAACGCGGTTGAGGCAGACGTGAGGCAGTGTTAAGGGGAACTTGCCCTGCAATGCTCCACGGCATGCTTCAGCCCATCACGTGGATGGGAGGGAGTTGTCTGTCCGTGCCAACGGTCTAGTCCGCCCAAGGCAGTAGTCCCCAAAAAATTTGAGCAATGACGACGTGGGCCTCCGTTACGTTTCTTCTGTGGGGTGGGATAGGTGTTGCGTTGGCTAACTCTTGAACATTCTGCCCTCAAGTTCGGACGTTGCAAGTGCATGGAGTACAACCTTCAATTCTTCAAGCACCAGACAGAAGGATGACCATAGGCCACGGACTGGCCGGCTGTTTCTGCCGGCGCTCGCTTTTGGTTTTGCCGCTGGCATCTGGCCCCCTTCCATCCAAGGAAGCCGCAGCAGACAAAGGAGACTGAGGAGAAGCCCAAGGAATCCGGCGGGCTGCTGGATGAAGAGGACCTGCGGACGGGCCTTGCGCCTTTCACATTCAACCCCTAGTGAAAAAAAATGTCTGGATCCCGCGTGCTTAGTTGGTGAAGTGCGGCACGTGCATCATGTTTCAATTGGGCATTTTTTGTATTGCAAATTGTGGCAAAGAGCACCACGTGCTCGAGGGTAGGTAGGTTCCCCCGAGCTATGGGACCCTAAATTCCCTGCGTGAGCAAGCAGCTCCACGGACAAGTGATATAGCCCGCGGCCGTGGACTGTATATACTGAAACCAGTTGACGTGGCTGCTTTGGGATCCGATTTCGGGCACTCGCTGCTGCTCAGGAATCGACAGTTCCACATGGAAACTTGAAGCCGCAACAGGATGTGCCACTATTGTAAGAAATTTAGGTATACGTTGGAAGCCAAGATGAATGTCAACTTTGCAAGCCATGCGTTGGCTGGATGCTGCTTTAGTCACAACAATTGGTTTCGTCCAGCATGGTGTCAGTTAGTTCTGCCGTCAGGACGAGTTCGAAGAATTCGAGGAGCCAGATTGGGCCGCTGCCTTGGCACGTGCAGAGGTTGGATGTGTGCATAGATTCAATTTCCTCACCTCTTCCTTACCATTTGTTGTCTTCGTGTGAGGTGCTCCGGTACTTGTGCAGTTCTGTGCGTGTGGGGTTCTGCTCGCTTCCTGAGTTCATGAACTTGAAACTTTTTGGGACGACCATTTTAGTGGTAGATATACAGTTTGGACTTTTTTGGAACCATCCACTCAGCCAGTGAGTCTGAGGAAACGCCAGCGCCTGGCACTTCGGAGGCGAAGCAGTGGGAAGAAGACTGGGACGATGCTGGCTGGGATGACGAAGATCAGGACGCGCAGCAACTTTTCACCTGGTTCTCCGGGGTAAATTTCCCTGAATCCACAACTTGCGTTTGGGAAGTTCCCATGTCTACCAGGGCCACCGGGCAACTAGGCTTCTTTGTAGCAACATCCTGTGGTTCTGTGTCTTGTTAGGCAATTTTCCTTCAAGAAAGTCGAGCAAGTTGGGTCTGTGTGCTTGTATTCCCCCAGTGTTGCTCTTATAGTTTGATCAAGAACGGAAGAGCTGAAGGGCAAGGACGACTATGGCAATGTCGCAACTGGTTTAATACTGGTACCCTTAATTGTGGCAATTCCTCGGCTTAAACGCGACCCCCGACCGACTGTTTCGGTACGTGATTTGTGTCAAGTTCAAAACACTTGAGCAAAAATACGCAATCTGGGTAGCTGATTTCTCCTCTCAGCTTCATGGCTCAGTCCCAGAGTCTGAGAATTCCTGGTTTGATCCTAGGAATCCTTTGCTTGAATCAATCCAAAAACAATCAAACAGGTTGCCCATCATCTTTAAGGGGCACTGTTTGAGGTGGGTTGGCAATCCCCAGGTAAAATCTTAGCCTTCTCCTTTTAAAGTGTGCTCCAAACTTAACAGCTTAACAAGGGATCAGGCCAAGACCCGAGTCTGAGAAGCGCTGGCAATACCAAACCAATACTTAAGTCATCCAAGAACCCTGCCACACCTTCAATTCAGCACCCCCGAGCACTGGTTTGACTGTTGAGGGGGGGGCACCATTAAACAAGGTCCAATATTTGTACTGCCGCAAGGTTTCCGACGTTGGAAATTCCGGTTCATTCCATCAGCGCGGAGACACGCACGGGATGAGCAGGTGGCCTCAGGCTTGTAGGGAAACAAAGGGGAAGTATGCATTTCCTGGCTGGAGGTGAGATGTTGGCATTGCATTTGTGTGGGATTGTGTGGGTCTGCCGGTTGGGTTCGCTACATGGCTGTTCAGGGAGGGCTTTTCAGGAACGGGTCGTTTTAGCGCCCCCCCGCGCCATAGAATACAGCGTTTCGGCACACTGTGTTCTATGAGGGTCTTGTTTGTGACTTGCCTTTCTCTCCCAGTTGTGGCCTCTATCTTCTTTCCCAGGCCAAAACTGGTGGAAAACCAAAAACTTCTGCGGGCCGAAGCCACGGAGGTGTGCAGATACTGCCGCAGGCTCCCGAAAAATGTGATCAGGACGACTCTTTTCAGAAGCGCCTCAAGGAAGAGCTGGATAAGATGGACAAGAAGTGAGCGGAGAGCTGAAAGGTGAGAGAGTTTCCGGTGGAGCGATGAAGCAGTTCATGCACACACAATACAAATATCTCTCTATATGTATGTATGTGCATATATATGTGTATACATGTACATATATGTATACATATACATACGTATTTGTGCGTGTATACATTGAGTGATGAAGCAGTGCATACCTATACATAGTATATCTATTGCATATATATATATAATATAGACACATTTGTAGTGTGGTTGGATGTTTTATGTAATGCGTCATCCTTCGGCCGGAAATCCAAGTTGCCACTAGACAGATGGCATTTTGGCAAAGACATCGAGTATGATCTTCGGCACCTCAGATGCAAGGCGCGCAGAGTAGTGCACCTCACAGATGTGAGACAGGATTGCAGGAAAAACAGCAGATGCCGACCCCGGATTGAGTACCTCGCAAATTCATTTGCAGCACAACTCCCCCCAGAAGTGCGGATCCCCTCATAGGGTACCAAGAAAGACCCCTTTGTGGCTACTGTCATATTCCGCGGAAAATTCGGGTGGAGAAGTTTCCGTGATGCTTGTCTCTGCATAGGGGAACCCTAAGATGGTTGGCGCGACTCCTGCGCGAAACCTCGCGCCTGAGCTCTGAGGCTGAAGCGCCCACCTCGCCCAGAGGCAGGGCTGGGACTTGAGGGCATTTGGCCCTGCTGTGGCACCTCATCAAGTCCATGTTGGCACAACATGGCTCTAGAATGGATCATTGTAGGTTTCCCTTTGGGTTTTCCTTTGAAAACACTGCAAACAGGGTAGTTTGCTTAAAATAAATACTCACACATGTGACTTGATAGATTTCTGGTTGTCACATTTTTTTGGCGGGTTGGACACATACCTGCATCCATGAGCTCCATTGCTATTGCTTGCATTTCTACATTGGTTGATTTCAACCCCTGATTGCAGTCAGTGGGAACCACCAACATATTTGTCTTTTTGACCTGCAAAAAGAGGTGGTGTGATGTAAGACTGACAAAAATGCAACTTGTGATTGCTGAAACAAAAACGAGATTTGTGCGTTACGTGTTTGGTGTACATGAGCTGATAGTCGCTGCTTGCCCGCACTTCAACATGCTGTTTTCATCGCAAACAACATGCACATGATTTGGTCCTGCCTCCATTTGAGGGTATGGACTGCTGAGGGAATCGCATTCATGAAAACCATGTTACTTGGGCCCTCGGCTTGCCCTTCCTTCCACTTAGAAGCACTGGCCTCAGCCCTCAAGGGCTTATACATCTCTTGGCTTCAGCACCTGATGTTCGGATCATGTTCGCCGTTCCATGCCCAGTCAGCGCCCTGCATCAGCTCCTTGGTGTGACGGCCTCGGACCGCCTGCCACAGGCCATCAGCGCGAGTTCTGGGGTTGCAAACTAGGAAAGCCACCGGAAACCGGCCGTTCTTAGTTGCCCCTACTGAAAAATTATTGAGCGTGCCTTTTTTTCTGCCCAGGAACGAACAACTTACCGATCTGCTGGGAAGAAGCACATGCCGGCGGGCCAAAGGTCATTGTGACTCCAAAAAGGTTCCAGAGTCTTGGGATTCGGACGGACCAACTTCCTGAGGCCACAGGCCAGGACGGAGTCAGGCGCGCGACAGCTTTAGCAAATCAAACGCTGGCAGGTTCCATGCCCTGGAAATCTGGCACCAGGAGATCTCACTAACTAGATGTCGCTTTCCTTGCTATGGATGCCAAAGGGACCTGGTTTTGCTTAGCCACTTGCCTTGGCGCAACTCGAAGAGCCCCCTCCACCTCACCAACGAAGCATGTTTTTAAAGGATTTGCTCTGTTAGGTCCAATGCGTAGCTGCCACTCGCCGCGAGCATGTTGCCCAGCACTTTTCGGCCATGTGCCAAGGCAAGAGATCTAGAGGGACAGTTTTCAAAAGAGACTGCGACAAGCAACTACCATCATTGGGGGTAGCTTGGACGTTTGGCAGTGTTGCAGGTCCAGCTGAGAACCTCCCCAGGCATGACGTTCATTTGCAAATGTGGCAGCCTGTTTGGCGCTCTAAGGGTATTTCTTCAGGCTTCCTGTTCCGAGTTTGCTGAGCTTGCTCGCCAGCAGCATTTCACCGGGCATGCTGCATGGAAGCAGGGAGCATTGAATCAATACCCAGCAGCCGAAGTGCGTGGCACGCATCCATAGCAGATGAGTCCAGCTTTGAGCGTAGGGTCCAAACATAGGCATGCGCAGGAATTGGATCAGCCATCCAGACAGCTTGCCAATCTGAGCCATTGCTTTGTGCCGGCATCCCGGCTTTCCGGTCTTGCCATGTTTCCCCGTATCTCTGCATTTTGGCGAAAAGATGTCCGGCCGGTACCTTAGCTCGACATTGGGTCCCAGGACGATCAGCCTTGCCGGGACTGACCCCTCTCATTTTGTGCCGACCTTTGAGGATAAAGGCCCCTTGGGCAGATGCTTGAGTGGACTCCTTGTTCAAAGCTTCGGCGACGAGAAGTCAAGTGAGGCAGTGGTAACCTTCAAAAACCCGCGAGGAGTTGTTCATGGTGTTCAATGTGCCTGTCTGCAGGGCGCATGGGCCCGATCGCATTTGTTGAGAATTGTTGGGCTCAGCCACTTTCTTTGACTGGATTTCTATAAGCAAATTGTTGATTTAATTTCTGCAGCCGCTGACGGTTGAATCTTCTCTGAGACCTCCGGCCCGCTGCCGTTTTGGATCAGGACGGGCATAGGGGCCTTTGCCCAGTCCTCCCCTTTGCCTTTGGATGACCGAAATGGCATCCGATGCACGGCCGATGCTTTGCTTTTCGCAGCTCTGGACTTTTGAGCAGGAGGATGGGCTGCCAGCCGTTTCAGCCCAAAGGCCGCGTCAAGGGAATAGATGCTAAGCAAGTATGAATGGAACATAAGAGATGGTACCTTATGTGTACGATTCTGGAACACTTGACTTTGAGTGGTGCAGATCAACATGTTTGTTTTTTAGATGTCAAGTATCTCTGGCAACTGGCCAGGATAGAACGTGTTGGAGGCTTTGGATGTTCGCCTCAAACCCTTAGCTGCAGAAAATGCATTCAGCTTTGGCTGGTCAACTTCAACAGAAGTAGCAAGCTGGCTGCAGATGTTTGACAAGTTGTTTTGTTCAAACTTGAACTTCCATTTGGGACAGTGTTTGGCTTGGACCGCCAGCCCTCAGAACTACTTGGCAAACCTTTGCATCACCGTTGTCACAGTCCAGCAGCATCCACTTTTGCCAGAGTCGAAGTGCCACTAGCCTGCCAATTGTAATTACAGTAGCAACAACTAGGTCCCCCAGTAGTGCCCTTTTACCCTTTCTTTTTGGGGAGGGTTCCCCTACTAAAATAGACTACAGAAAAACGGTATCCTTATGCTAACCTCTCTACTGGAGGACCTCGACACACATGGCAGGGTCGGTTTCTGCTCGCAATTTGGCTTTGGGTCAGCGCTAGGAGAGGCGCCGCAGTTTATGGCCCTTCGCCACGTGTGACTGCAGCACCGCTGAGGCTGGGTCCATGAAAGCTGATTTGAAGACTGGGCCACTCCCCGAGTCCCTGGACTCGACGATTTTTGAGAGACCGTTGTGGTGTGTTATGGAGGCAACCAAAATGTTTAGACTTGTTTGTGACCAAGGCATAGGAAATGAATTTCCCTCATAGTGGTCGAATGTGATGTTCACGTTCAGGCACCCAGTGCATGCATCGGCCCCAGCGAAGGCTTCGGCCCTTGCCAAACCATGTCCGCACAAGCAGTAATGAATGGGCGCGGAGGGCCGACGTTCCCTTGCCGCTGGTGGGAACTATTTTGCAAGTGCCCACAAGTAAATGTGCATTACAAGAGTCAAAATGATGCTACCCCCGCTTAGGGTACCCTTACCATCTCTTGAATGGAGGCTAAGATCGCTGCATTCCCTCAGCAAACCGGCAAATCCAATTCCCTGGGATTTAGGCCTAGATACAGTTTGGGTCAAATCTTGGATCATTTTGAGCCATGGATCTGTGGGCTCTATATCCTGGAGACCTTTGAGAAACATCTTGAAGGATTTATGCGAATTCTTGTCAGGCCAGTGGAGCATTGGTCAAAGCTCCTTTTGTGTCCTGCTGCGCAT